CAGAGGGAATGTCTGTCATTAGCCTATCATGATTAAGTGTGTTTGCAGTGCTTAGAATTAATCTAGAATTGTATGCTGTGAATTAATTAATCTAGACTTGTTTGCTGTGAATTGATTATGTCTATTGCAGTGCCCAGCATTAAGGATCGTCATTTTCTTGATTAAGAACCTATGGAGTGAAACTGTATTGAGTGATTTGAGTGAATAAAGCATTGAAAGGGACAAAAGCGCGTGAACATTCCTTATTTCTCCCTTTAGCTGCATATGTCGCAATTTTGCCTCCTCGCAACATGCAGTTTGTAACACAAGTCCTATATCATGAAGTGGGGAAATGTGCTTTATTCAGGGATGGACACGTGATCCTGCCTTCTCTTCAGATGGCAGCTGATTGACGGTGAAACAGAACAAAATCCCTGAGCTGAGCACCGAAGCACCTCAGCCAGGAGGCAGATGGCATCAGTCAGTGAAATGGTCTGGCATCCAGCAAGCCCTCAACAATTGCAGAGTGAGAAAGCTACGGTCACTCCTACTAAGAGCTCCTTCCCTTTTACAGCTCAGCCAAAGGAGAGGGGCAGTTGAGGATTTGGGATGGGTTATTTTCCCCTTTCTTTCCAAAGAGCTGTGAGTAAGGCTCCACCCCAAGTGGCTCCTCTCAGCTCTCTGAACTTGATCAAGGGGAAAAAAAATATTATTTTTTTATGTAGCCAGAAAACTCTGCTTGCTGAGGGAGTTGGTGACCTGCACTTAGAGGAAGTGGTCCACTTTAAATATAGTACATTTAATCATTGGAGTTTCTTGAATTTCAACTTGTAATATTCTGGCCAAGCCCCTCCTGGCGTGAGGAGCACCTTCCTGGCCCGGAATGAGAAAAGTCCTCCACCACACCCAGGCTCCTGTGGGCCATCCCTCACATGAATGCATTTGGACATGACAGCCTGGCCCCTGCCTGACCTGTGGGCCTTGCTCAGTGAGGATACTCACCAAAAGAAACAAAGTCTGACCTACAGGATCAGAGAGACGGGTCGGTCTTTACTGAAGACTCTGGAAATATTAGCAAAGGAGGAATTGCACCTCACGCCACGCCACTCGGCTTCCCAGAAGTCTCTTTTCAACGAGGCTCCCCAAGGCCTCTGCTGTCACAGGCTGTGCCCTACCTCCTCCCCTCTGCCTCACTCAGTTCTTCTCTCCCTTCCAAATCTGTATTTATCTTTCTCCTTTAAATAGCAGCATGTGCGTTATGTTAATATTCAATGGCTCTTGGTCATCTTGGGAATTCTGTCACAGCAACAGAAAGCCGATTGACACTACCCGTCTCCTAGGTTGTTGCTGTCAGTCCCCCAAGATAACCTCCAAAATCAGCCCTTGTCCTTGACTCTTTGACCCAAGTCCTGCTTCTGGGGGGATCTGAAATTAAGACAGGACTGGGAGCAAACCTGGGCAGTGACCACCCAGCGTAATCCCAGGACAGGAAATGTCAACCTGTAGTCCAAGAGTATCCCTGGGCCCTGCAGGCAACGGTCCCTAAGAGTCTGCCAAGAGACCCCCTGGACTAAGTGGGCTTCCTGAAGCCGACCTCAAGCAGGAAGGGCAGAAAGGGTGTGGTGTCTTTCGTTGAGTGTTTCCATGGGCCAAGGGCTTCCCATGCATCCTCCTGGTTAGCTCCAGGCTGACCCCAGGAGGCAGGTCCTATCGTGTGCCCTGCCTCGCAGAGTGCGCTGTCCCTGCAGAGGCGAGTCTTCTGGGGGTTCTTCCTCAGCACACAGGCAGGGAGGGTGGCCTCCCTCCCCTCTGCCCCCACCCCACCCCAGGCTGCTAGGGTCAGACAGGACCCACTCGAAGCATCTGTCCTTAGCCACACTCCCATGGAGAGGAGTGTCCTTCCCTCCCACAGATCTACATGGGTCACCCCCATTTTAAACATATAAGGAGGAGGAAGCCCTGGCCAGTGCAACATGGAGGAATCGCCAACACATCAGGCACAAATGGCCACCTGCTGCAGATTCCGTGCTTGGAAATGACCAGAGCAGGTCAATCCAGACTCAGCAAGTTTCCTAGTGTTGCCAGAGAACAGAGGGTGGGAGCTGAGTGCTCCAATGCAAACAGGTGTCTCTTTAGGACAGTGGCTCGGCATCACGTAGATGTACTAAATGTCCCTGTTTGTGTGCTTTAGGTCAATGGCTATCTTTATGTTATGTGACTTTTACCTGTGAGAGAGAGAGAGAGAGAGAGAGAGAGAATGAGAGATTCGCAATAGGAGGAAGCTTGTTGCGCAGGGCCAGCTTAGTTTACCAGAATTTGCACAGCACCTGATTGTAGTGCCGGGACGTGCACTCAAGCTTCCTGGGAATACTCCATCTTTCCTCCTGAACTAAATGGTTAGAGCCCATGCCATCGGAAATGACATGGTGGTTTGGTCTTTGCTATCTGATGACACTCGTTGCAGTACTGTGTAAAATACCTTCTCTTTCTTTCAATTGTCAACATGCACACACAAGATTAAAGGCCAGACTCCACTGCTCAGAGTCACCTGCTTGAGGATCATCTGGGATGGAGCCTAGTCTTGTTAATGCTGAGACCAGCACGAGGTGCTGGTGTCATGCTGGCCTGATGGACATCAGGGACAGGGGCTGTGGAAGGAGCTGAGTGTCCTCCCAAGTAAGCGGCTCTTACTTGTAAAGAAATGAGTTACAAGTCATTCCATTTCCCTGCACGCGGAACATCATCTTTCCACCCTACGTCTCCTAACTCCTCTCCTAACTTTTCCATTTCTGCTGGCCCTGAACAAAGCTCCGCCCACGCTGTGCCGTTCTGGTCGGGGAATTTCCAGGCTCCTTGGTAACAAGACAGCACACAGCAGGGCCCTGGGGGTCGCTTCTCTGCTTGCTGTCTGTGTCCTCTTGGCTGCAGGAAAGGAGGCTGGAGGGAGGGAGAGGCAAGATCAGTTCTAAACACCCCCCCGCAAGAGGCACCCAGTAGCTTCCTTGTGAGGACCAAGCCCCCTAACTCCCTGGACTGCGCCCGCCTGAGGCAAGAGCTTTCACCCTGGTATTTGCACAAAGTATCGTTTTTGCACCCTGAGGACTTCAAGTATTGAGGGTGCTCCAGAGAAGGCCCCCGGCAGGTGCAGGGGCAGCTGCGACACAGGGATCCTCCCTCTGCTCCCTGCTGGCTCAGGATGAGCTCCCGGTCCAGGGGATTTTCTCCTCTACGGTTGTGGACTTGGACCAGGACATTCAGCACAGACTGTGGCCCTTCTCACCAGCGGCCAAATGGCAGGAAAGAGCCAAGAGCCATGTGATGGACCAGAGTAGGACCAAATGAAGGGACAGCGACTCTGGGATGGAGAGTATTGGGCAAGGATGCTTTGCACTACTTTGCGTTTGAAAGGCCTCAGACATTATTTCACTGAGGCTCACCAACAGCCCCATGAGAAATGTCCCTCTATTACCCCCACTGCACCGATGAGACAGGCTCAGACTGGTTCATATGCAGTACTGCCCCAGAGCCCACAGCTGACCGGGACGGAGCCAGGACTGGAGCCAGAGAAGGAACCTTAACCACCAGTTAAGCTGGAAGATGAGAACCTTTGGGAGAAAGGACAAATGGCCCCGTAGAGTCCCCCAAATTTAGTTGGCAGTCAAATGGTCCAGCCGAGGCAGCTCAGAGATGCCTAGAAGCTGGTCAGGAGCGCCCAGGGCTTTCCCAGGCCTCAGCCTGCCTTGCCACTGCAGCCTCCCAGGCTCCTGGAAGTCCAGCAGATTCCTCCTCGCGGGAGAAACCCCGCCCTGCCTGCCCTGCCCTGTCTCTGGGCTGGCCAGGAGGGTGAGGATGGGCCGAGTCCTCATGGGTATCGTGAGTCTCACAAGAGAGGGGCTGGTTCTTCTCCTTCCTGTGCTTCTTGAACAAGCCAGGGGTGGGAGAGACTGGAAGTCAGCAAAGGACACCGATGCCCTGGTGCCACAAGGGGTGACAGGTTTGAGGGAGCCGTGGGCCCAGCTGAGGGCCTCTGTATCAATCCTGCATTTCCTCCCACGAGGGTGCAGTCCATGGCCTTGTGGAAAATTCCAGAGTCTGGGAAGTGCCAGTTTTAGGGCGACCCAAGAAGGAGGACATCAGGCCAAAGGTGATGAGTCACAGAGGACATCATGGCTTTGTGTCCAGCAGACTTGGCCTCAAATCCTGCCTCTGACATTTGTTAGCTGTGTGACCCCAGACAAGTCACTGAACCTCTCTGGGACTGTTTTCTCATCTGAAAATTAGGGTAGTCACAGCAGCTCCCTCACTGGGCATAAGAGGACAGCACTCAGGTGCAGTGGTGCCAGGGCTATGGGTGAGGAGGGGCTGAGAGCCAGCTGTAAGTGCCGGGAGCAACCCCAACAGCTGCCTCTGCACTCTGAACAAGGGCTGTGGCTCCCAGTGGAAGGCGAGTCCTCGGACCAATCCCATTTGCTGCTCTAGGTGAGCCCAGGAGGGGCCCTGGGACCTTACCTGTGCAGGGTTGCCACCCCATTCCTGCCCAGGCTCCTTACCCACTGTCCACACCTGAGTGGCTGCCCAGCTGGGAATGGGACTCCAAGTCTCAGGCATCTTTGGGATTCAGTGCCCCCAGTGTCCAGTCCCAGTGTCCATCTGCATTCCTCTCTTCCCCCACCTGCATTTTTCCTGCCCCTGCCCTAGCACCCCACCTCACCCCACCTCTATCTCTGTGCTCCCTCCAGACACAGGGCCCCCCCTGGAGGGACCTCCCCCAAAGACCTAGCCTCCCCCCACACAGACATCGGGAGAGACCAATACAGCCTGCTGCTGCCCAGACTTGGACTTAGCAGAAGCAGCCTCCTTGGAACCCCTGCCTCTGAGCAGACTGCAGAGAGACTCTACAAGCCCCTCCCTCCCTCTCTGCCTAGGCAGCCTCATCTGCAAAGTGTGAGGCGTAATACTGACACTTGTCTCAAGGGGGCGCTGCTGAAAGCCTTAATTGTGATAATGCAAGGGAATCTTACCTGCAGCGAGTGTCTGGTGTCAGCTATTGTCATTGTCAGGCACATTGCCATTGTTCTTTGCTGTTAAAATGGGCAGAGTCACAGAGAAGAGCCACACTGCTGGGCTTTCCAGGAAGCCCAGAACAGAAGCACTTAGGGCATGTACTCAGCGTGCCAGGGCCAGGGCCATCCCCAGATGCTACCTCGTGTCTTTCTGTGTGGATTCACCCTCTAGGGAAACCTGACGTCTCAGTGCCATGGGTGTCTGCCCTTGGCTCCATCTCCATCTCTCTTCCCCCACCTGCATTTTTCCTGCCTCTGCCCCTCTGCCCCTGCCGTTGGCTGCCTGAGATGCCCTTCCTTCTCCTCTTTGCCCATCTGGATCCTGAAATCCCTCAAGAGCAGATAATGCTTCTCCTCCTGCAGGAAGCCCTCTGGAAGCCCTCATGCTGAGGTGGCATGAACAGCCCCTGGTCTTACGGTGGGTCTCCAGTTGGCATCGCCCTTGTGTGGCTGGTGCTCATGACCTTTCTCTGTGTGAACCAGGCTGCCCTGCACAAAAGGCTGTGACCAGGGCCTGGCATCGCACCTGCCCCACGCCTGCCTCCCAGGCTCTCATTCACGCCTGGGGAAGCCAGAGCAGGACTCTAGTTAGCTTTGGCTTGTGCCTGGAAATCTCTCGATGACTCTGTCTTGTGTTAATTGATGAGTGCAGGGGCTTTGAGGTGGATTGGAATCCGAGGGTAGGCCTGAGATTTTCCCTGACGATGATTCCCTTCCAGTGCACAGGGCCTCCCTCCGTCTCTCCCTCCTCCCAGGCTGGCCCACGGTGCCTTCACCCAGGTCCCAGCTCTGGCCCTCCATGATGCACACACCCACTCTGCCTAGGCCAACAGGCCCCCTGACGCCCAACACATCATCCAGGGCTTCAGAATCCTGGAGATTAAGGTGGGTCCTTGACAATATCAAAGACTTCCCCTGGCCTCTGGGCAACCAGCCGCCCAGGGTTAAGCTAGGACCTGCTCCTGACATCCGACCATGGTACCAAAGTAACTGTACCCCACTTTCTTCCTGATTCTCTAAGGGAAAAAAAAAAAAGCTGTTTTACCCCCTCCATGTTGTCTTAACCTCTAAGATCTGCTTGCATGGGTGGCTAATTTGGGGTCTCTGGGTAAACAGCACAGTTTCTGAGGCAAGAAATTAAACAGAACATGAGGTCTGGTCCCCAGGTCTCGAGGGCCCTGGCAAAGTCCTTCCTGAGCCCAATGTGAAGACAGCCTGCCCAGCGCCCTCCCTGCGGCTTCACCCAGCTGGCCCAGGCCTCCTGGGCTCCCAGCCAACCCACAGCCTCTGGATCCCAAGTCCTTCAGCAAAAGACCGCTGGTCTTACCGTGGGTCTCCAGGTGGCATGTCGCCAACTGGAATGTCGCCCCCAGGAATCCTCTGGCTGGACCCTCTGTCCCTGGAGGCTTGGAGGGCAGAGGAAGGGGGAGTGGGGAGCAGTGCCAGAGCACATTGCACCACAGTTTTTATTAACTCACTTTAGCAAACACTGAGACCTCAGGGGCAAACATTTGCAGGTGGCATAAGGTCACTGAAAGTGACCCAGAGGATCACGCGGTCTATCAGGCAGAATATAAATTGGGCTGTTGACAAAGAGACCTGGGGCGCATGATCAAGATAGACGCCAGCTTCTCTTCCTTGTCATAGTCCCAGTGTAAATGGTCCAGGGCTGGTGTGGTGGCTCTGTGGAGTTGGGGACCCAGTCTAGGAAGATTTGTTTTGGAGTCCCCAGGTCAGTCAGTAGGAAGGGGATGAGGGAGGGGGGGCTACACTCATTGCTCTCACCCCATTGGTCAGAACTGTGTCACATGGCCACGCCCAGCCCCAAAGGGAGGCTGGGAAATGTAGTCCTCTGTTCCACAAGATTTGTGTCCTCCTAAAAAGAGAGGCAGGGAAAAAGTAGGGGCTCTGCCATACCTACATGGGCTCACTTTGCTCACAGTCAGACAGCCTTCAAAGCCCTCCCCATGCTGCTTTCCTGACCAGGTGCTCCAGACCAGGAAGCTGGAGGGCATTTCCTGGGCAGGAAGTGGAGGGGACTGGATGGATCCAGGGAGATACTTTCTAACAGGCAGATGTGAGTTTGCACCTGGGGGCAAGATGGACAACCCCTGGTAAAGAGACAGGGGACCATCCTGGAGGACTCCCTGATGCTACTGCATCCAGGGCATGGCAGCCACCTGAGCCATCCTTGGAAGGCAGGGGCCAGCAGGGCGAGGAGCCTGGGTTTGTGCCCCTGCTGGACCTCGACCCACAGCAAGCTGCCCAGGGTGGGCTGGGCCAGGAGCAAGTTAGCTAAAGCCTGACCCAGAGCACAGCGAGGGGCCATGACCTGCCACGAGCCCTCAGATCCAGGAGATCTGAACTGTGGTCACCCTGGATCCTTCCAAGGCTGCCTGCACAGGTAGGTCCCGAGCTACCTCCAGTAATGGGCAGCCCCCACTGTGAGTTCACCATACACTGGAAACTTCACCCAGCTACCCTCAGAATGGCCCTTTGAGCCACATCCTGGTGTTTCCAGAGAAAATACCAGTGGTGTTGTGTGGACTTGCAGATGACCTCCAGCTTCCCCCTGGGGACAGTCCCTGAACGCTGAACACTGTGTGGGACAAGGCCCCTCCTTGGCGGGCAGGCACAGGTGTGTGGGTGAACACTTGGACATTTGGCAAAATGTGATCTAAACCGACTTTCCTTGCAACATCCAACCAAGTGGCAGGGCGTGGGGGACAGAAAGCCTGTCCCTGAGAACACACGCCCAACGGATGCCAAGGAGAGGAACCCGGCTGGCATGGGGTCTACTTGGAGAAGTCTGGCTCTTCAGCACAGCGAGGCACAGTGCTGGGGCCCAGGCCGCAGGAGACCCCACCTCCGTGTGTCCCCCCACCTCTGTGGCTCTGCTGGAAGGTGGCCTGGTCCCAGGCAGTGGCTCATCTCAATGCAGGCCTCTCCTCTTGCTCTGGTCTCCGGGTCTCTAAGAGCCTCTGGCCAAGAGCAGTAGCCTTCTACCCGACAGGACTCTCTCAACTCCATGTTGCCTTTTATTCTTCCCCAAGGTCCTATTTCAAAGTCAGGCCTGTTGCATCCGCAGAGCCCTCTCTCCCAACCTGGCAGGCCCATGCCCTGAGTAAACACTAGGTTATCTGACCAGAGGCCAAAAGGAGGCCCCCTCCAAGATCCCAGGGTCCAGCTGAGGACCGCATGTCTTAGGGTCCCGCGGGGCTTCCATCTACCACTGCGGCCCTGTGCGGTCAGCAGTCCACCCCCAGGCTCTCAGCACCTGGCCTAGCTCAGGTTCCCAAGTCTCACCCAAGTGACTGAAGGAGTAGCTGAGTCCAGTGGAGGCCGACTCCTCTGAGGGCCAGCGGGATGTCCTACAGTGCCATCGTTGGCCAAGTCCCCACACCAAGTGCCAGCCCAGCCTGGGAATGTATTAGGAGTGCAGCCCCCAGGTCCCCGCCCAGACAGGGCTCTGCAGAGACTCCGGGGGAGGGAGGGCCAGCACCCCGGCCTTGCACCAGCCTGGGGGGTTCGGACACGATGACCCTGAGGACCCCTGCTCTAGGCCAACGGTGTGCAAACACTTAACAGCAGGGTCCTCTCAAGGGCAGGAAGGAGACGCTGCCTGTGGTAGGTGGCCGGCTCGGTCCACTGCCCGCTGGCCTCCAGCAGCTCGGAAGCTGCCCGTTTAATCACCTGCCCAAGGCCCTCGCTTTGCACGGGGTTTCTCTTGAGGAAAGGAAGGTGTCCCCAAAGCAAGAGCAAGGGTGTCCCCGGAGGAGGACGGAAGGGGAAGCGGAACGGAAAACAGACAGACAAAGCACCAGGCGCCCACAGGAGGCCAGGACAGGTCAGGAAGCGTGTTTAATTGGCAGGACACAGACGACACACAGCGGGGAGCACGGGAGGCTGCCTGGCCTCACCCAGGCCGCACACCAGACAGGGGCCTCCCTTCCCTCTCCCAGAGACAGACAGACAGCACCCCCACGAGACCCCGCAGAGCTGGGCAGGCAAGCGGGGGCACAGACAGCCACGGCCAGGAAGCGTCGCCCGTCTTGTTCTGGTCTTTGCAAGTCACCCACATCACTTTCAGAGGCGCAGGCTTCAGGTGGGGGCACAACCCACAGCCCTGGGACACTGGCCTGGGCTCCTGCAGGGGGCTCGCCCATGGTCACTCCTCGCAGTGTCCCTGTGAGGCAGCTGAGCTCCCACATGAGCGGCGGAGGAACTGAGACCCAGAGAGCGGAGGTGACTGGCCCAGAGTCCCGGAGGAAGCTGGTGACCGAGGCTGGGAGTAAGATGACCCTTCCCAGGGCCACTTCGAAGACCAAGGGAAAATGGGGACTTCTGGCTGGGAGGGGGGCCCTGGTCTGTCCCAGGGCTGGGGGCAGACAGAGCCTGGGCCTAAGGCCAAGATGCCAAGGCAGAAGATGGGACCAGCTGTTTATTCAACAAAAGCCTTTTATTCATTCAGAAATCAACCATTGGGTTTATTCTGCAGATATTAAAAAAAATAAATAAATAAAGGAGGGCAAAGCTTCCCATCAGTGTCTTAACTTGCTAGCCCCAGAGATGACCTAGCAGAGGGGCATCTGGGGGGCATGCTGCCAAAAACATGGGCCTGGGGACCCAGGGCCTCTGCAGTCACAGCCCCCTCCTAGCCTCCCTGCCTCCAGCCTTGGCTCCCCACCTGTTGGGCAGGTCGGAGCCCCCAGACGCCTTTGCTGCCCACCACCACGAGGGGGCGCTCCCACTCGTCCTGGAGCCCGTAAATGCTGACACTGGAGGAAGGTGGTGGCTTTGGACTTTGCAGCAGGGGGTTGGGAGGACTTTCTCTAATAGAGACACCAGGGGTCCCTAAGCATCCTGCACCCTCTCCCCCAGAAAAGAGACAGTGCCCCTGAAGCCCAGGTGCTCCTGTCTAAGAAATCAGCTGTCCAACTGCAGAGCCTTTCAGGGAAGAAATGTCAACACACAGATGACACACACGTTTGCCTTGATGTTATTTTAAACGTCACCTGGTTAAATATTGGGAAATCGTGACTTTCTCTAAGTCCCCGTCAACACAAAGTGGGGAGCAGACATGGAGAAAAAGGCTGGTGCTTGCCTCTGGCCCCTGCAGGGAGGCTCACGGAGGGACCAGGGCGTGGCCTCTGGGCTGTACCCAAAGAGAGCAGCAGCGGGTGGGGAGGGGCCTCAGGTGGGAACTGTCACTGGGAGAGGCCCTGGGGACTGGGCCTAGGATTCAGAGGGTACCTCCACAGCTAGAGACCTGGTGACCGGAAGGGACAAAAGTCAGTTCCTGTTGGCAACCTAGAGCAAAAATGGCCAGCGTCCCATACCCTGCCAGGAAGGAGGGTGGCTCTTCTGTCAGCTGAGGGCTCTCAGGGCATGAGACAAAGGTGTGGCCAAGGCCTGGGCCCACGGGAACACGGGGCTGTGACCCTAAGAACTGCCCACCAGGACCAAAAGCCACACCCGTGGCTCCCAACCAGAAGATCAAGATAATGGGAGCAAGACCAGGTACCCAGAGGCTCAGTGGACGCCTATGGGAGGGGCCCTGGGCTGGCCCCGGACAATCCTCGGCCACAAGTCACTTGGCCCCTGTGTCTCCAGGAGAGGACACACAATTCCATCAGTCCCCCATCAAAGGCCAGTCGAGTCTCCGGCAGAGGCAGGAGAAGAAACTACCCAGGAAAGGCCTCAGGCCCACCCTCTCCTCCCAAGTCCCCAAACCCACCCCTGTCCAAGGGTCCCCAGCCAGAGCCAGGCACTGCCGAGATTGGTGGTTAGGCCCAGTGGCCAAACAGGAAGTTGACCCACAGGCCTCCAGGAGGCCAGCCTTCAAAGTGGCCTCTGAAGGCTGACCACTGCCCTGTCCTGTGGGGGTCTGAGGGTGGGCCAGAGTGCAGCCCAAGGGTCTTCCCATGCAAGAGGGGGATCTCTGAAGGTGGATGAGCATGGAGCCAGCAGGAAAAGACACGTGGGCCTAGCAGGAGTGGGCATCGTCCTCTGGCTGGAGGCTGCCTTCTGAGGTTCATCGCGGGGAGACTCCAGCCTCCTGGGAGCCAGGTGGAAACCAAGGGCAATTCAGAGCAGAACCAGGGCCAGCCCTGCCCCTCTCCAGGAGGCAGAGCAGAAGCAGGAACCTCACCCCCCACACCTGGGCCGGGCTCTCCCCAGCCTGGAGGCTGCTCTTTCCAGAGCCCCCCCCTTGGTGAGGACACGTGCCGGGGAGCGGGGCTGTCTCGAGGGTAGCCTGGGCCCCCGTACCCAGCATCTGAGAAAAGAGCAGGTCAGGGAAGAATGCCACGTGGTCTCCTGGAGAAGGAGGTGGGACAGCAGAATGGGGGAGACCCTGCTGGTCCGCTCTCGGCCTCTGTGCCCGGCCCCTCTCCTGGTGGGATCCCACTCTTGGGACGAGGCTCTCCATTTTCCTGCTGCTGCCAACACACATACACACACACACAGATAGGGTTGGAAAGCCAAAAAATGTCCCCTGTTTGTCCTCAAAAAATCGCTAAGGACCCAGAGGGCGGAGGAGGGGTGGAGAGGCGCAGGGCTCGGGGACCAGCAGGAACCTCAGGGCTGAAGGAACAACCGTTCAGGAGCTGCTGATGAATTTCCACCGTCCCCTGCTCCCAACACCAAGCACAGGATCTAAAAAAAGAAAACGGTTTTTTGGCTTCTGGGCCGCTGCAGGCCACCAGGCTCCCGGCGAGCGGGCAGGCGGGTGAGGGCGGCATGTGTGAACGGAGGCCCCGCGTCCCTGGGACTTGGGACCCGAGGCAGCAGCAACAGTTACGACCAATAAATAAAGGATATCAGTTATATATGAATATTAAGAAAAAATCTCACTTTCCCCACGAAAAGCACAATACTGTCATCACAGAAAATAGTCGTCATCCGAGGAGCCATCCCGGCCACACGGGCTCTTGCTGCTAAAGGACAGGACGAGGACGTGAAGCAGGCAGCCGCCAGCCCCGGCCACCTGCCGCGGAGGGACCAGGCGGAGGCCGAGTTCCCTGAGCCCAGGCCTTCTCCCCAGCGGTCAGTATCTTCTAGAACAGAAGGTAGTGGGTTTTTTTTTCCTTTTAAAATGTCCCTTTGAAATAAAAAAAAGCAGCTCAGGCGCAGGAGACAGGGGGAGCCCGAGGCTGCCGCCCGCAGCGAGTCCTTGGTCTTGCAGAGGGCTAGAGGCTTCCGATCCGTTTTGTCATTTTTTGTTTTTTTGGACAAGCAGAGGTTGTTGGCGATTGGAGCCGGTGGCTTCGGCAGGTGGGCGCAGGTAGGGGGCAAGGAGAGCCGGGGCCTCAAGTTCAAGGGTGGCTGCTCGGGCGCAGAGGAAGGTGGGGGGCACGGGGAGGAGTCGGGCTGGTGGCCTCGCGGCCCTGAAGGAGGAGACTGGTCCCCAGGCATCTGGAAGACACAGGAGGAGAGGCGGGTTACCGGTGGCAGAGGCTCAGCGGAGGGCAGGTGGCACTCTGGTGCCCTCTGACACACCCACTGGGCTCTTCAGGTGGGTCCCTGTAAATAAGTAAGAAGCTCGAGAAGCTCACCACCGACGTCTGTCAGAGCAAAGAGAAAAGGGAGAAGGGGCAGCCTAGGGCTCAGCTCAGTGGCCGATCAGGAGGCACCCATGGGCAGAGCAGCCTGGTGGCCAAGGCAGGGACCGCCACTCGGCAGCACCGTCACTAGGAAGATGCAAGTCAAAACCCACACCCACCAGGAGCAGGGAGCGAGGGGGAGTGCTGGGGGAGGCAGAGGCCTGGCCACCATGGGAAGAGTGTGTGAGGGCCAGCAGCCGACCCAGCAGACACCCGGAGAGCCAGGGCTTCCCAGAGAGCCAGCGCTGTGTCCACCAACAGATGTGGGATGAGTGACACGGGGCGGAGCCACACAAGGGACCCCGTGCGGCCACGAGGAGGACGGAAGCACGGGCCCCGCTGCCATGTGGACAAACCCTGAAAACACGCTGAGCAAAAGAAATCAGGCCACACCCACGTGTCACATGACTCCTTTTACATGAAACATACAGAACAGGTAAATCCAAAGGGACAGAGAGCAGCCTGTGTGTCCCGGGGACTTGGGGGCAGGGGAGGGGGGTGGGGACAAGGTGCCTATGGGGAATGCAGTGATGGGAATCTCAGGCCCAGCTAGAGGAGGCAACTGCAGAATGTGGCGAATGTGCTAAACGCCCCCAGATCTCACCTTCATCCCGGGGCTCGGGAGGCTGAGGCAGGAGGATCGAGAGTCCAGAGCCAGCCTCAGAGACTTAGCGAGGCCCTAAGCAACTCAGTGAGACCCTGTCTCTAATAAAATACAAAAAAGGCCTGGGGATGTGGCTCAGTGGTTGAGCACCCTGAGTTCAGTCCGTGGTGATTCTCATGGTACATGTCGCATGGCGTATGGTAAGTCTGTGACGGTCTGTGTCATCCACCACCTTCTCTGGGGCCGGATCTGCAGACGTGCCGAACCCCACGTCCCTGCTCCACCTGATGGACAGCTGTGGGCGGCTGGCCCACGGGGAACCCACTTCCTGACTCGTGCAGGGAAGCCACTGTGGCCAGGTATAAAGGAAGGGGGGACACCGAAGCTCATGGGAGGGGGAAGGGACAGAGCAGGAGTCCAGGGGAGAGTCTGTGTCCACTCACTGGCCTCTGGCTGCCTGCAAGCCCTGGAGGTTCGGCCTCTGAAGGGCATGTCTCTGCCTCCGTGGCCTGCAGCTTTGCGACCTGCCTACTCTTCCCGCCACAGCTCAGAGCAGCTCAAGAGGCTTCGACTGGGAGGTGGCTCACGTCCCAGAGTGCCCAACAGTGGGTTCACTGTGTCAGCTGGTGGAATAAACCACAGCACGAAGCTCATCCAACGCACCAAATCCACAAGCTCACGGCCGTGTGTTCTCATAGGACCTCACTGGCCACCCCCAGAGGATGTCAGAGAACGAAGCTCATTCTGAAAAGTGATCAATAAAGAGAAAGAAGCAGGCACCCCCATCTCTCCTATCAAAATCCAGTCCCGGGCAAGCGGGTGGAGTGAGGGGAAGTCGCCCTGGGTAGGATTAATCCAGCTGGCAGTGAAGGAGGAAGCCAGCAGGGAGCCTGCCCTCTGCACCACTGAGCATAGAACAAGGCACCGTGGCATCCCTGGCCCGCCTCCTGGGGACGTGCACACCACCGCCCCGCACGGCTCGCACCAGCAATGGGCCACACTGGCTCCCAAGCCAGCCTGCCCACTCAGAGGAAGGGCAGGAGCAGTGGCACCACCAACAGCACCATGAGGGGCGGCAGCACGCTCCGGATGGTGGGAAAGGCTACACCAGGCGTCTACCTACAGCAGCAAGAAGGAACAGGGAACAGAGAACCCAGTGGGGTCAACTCAAGAGTCCGCTCCACCAACTGCCATGTGCACACGCTCCAGACTCTGATTTCAGTAAGCAAAGTAAGAGGAAAACATCCATGAGATAACAGGAAGCTAGAATAGCAACTGGAGATTAGAAGATGTAAAAGGACATGGGCCACACGTGGGCCTCCAGGGTGCACCTGTCATCCCAGCCGCTCGTGAGGCTGAGGCAGGAGGATCACGAGTCTGAAAGTCAGCCTCGGCAACTTAACGAGGCCCTAAGCAACTTACAGAGACCCCGTTTTAAAAATAAGAAATACAAGGGCTGGGGCTGTGACTCAGGGGTTAAGGATCCCTGGGTTCAATCCCTGGTACCAAAAAAGAAAAAGAATATGGATTTTTTAAAGAATCTTTGACTTTTACAAATACACTTTAGAACACTTAGAATATTTACATATGAAGTCTTGAATTTGCTCCAAAATAATCCAGTGTTGGGCAGGTGGACGGCGAGAGCAGGGAGATACCGTACAAGATCGACTGTGAACTGGTGATTCCAATTTGGGTGATGGGAACATAGAATCATATTATTCTCTCTACCAGTTTGTAAGACTATTCCCATAATAACAATAAAAAAATAACCCCTCCCCAGAATTTCCAACAACCCAAGTGTCCTGTGCCACACAACTAATCAAAGTCTGGCCCAGTCATCAAATGGAATACTAAGCAGCTGCGACAATGGTGGGCTCTCCTTAAAAAAACAAAAACAAATCAACAACAACAAAAAAATCAGAGGGCTGGGGTTACGGCTCAATGGTAAAGCACCTCCCTAGCACATGTGAGGCCTGGGATTCAATCCTCAGCACCACATAAAAATAATTAATTAATTAAAGATATTACAACTAAAAAAAAGAAAAAAACCAGAACCAGAATTGCCACATGATCCTGCAATCCCACCACTGGGTGTGCATCCAAAGGAAAGAAAATTGGCATCCGGAAGAGACCCCTGTGCTCCTGAATTTACTAGGGCACACTATGCATGGTGGCCAGGACCTGGAGTCCACCAAGGTGAGGTGCATGGACACAGTGGAATCGTGTTCAGCCACAAACCAAGAGGCTCTGTCATTTGCAGCATCGTGGATGCAGGGCAGGATGTTATGTAAGGGAGGGAAGTCAGGAACAGGAAACAAACCCCACCTGGTCTTGCCCCTGTGTGGAAGCTGAAGGGTTGATCTCCTAAGCTGGGGGTGTGGTTCAGTGGTGAGCACTTGCCTGGCCTGTGCAAGGCCCTGGGGTCACATCCCCAGCCCCACAGAGGATTTTAAAAGTCGATCTCACAGAAGCAGAGAGGGAGCATAGAGGCTGGGAAGGTGTCAGGAGGGGGATGAAGAGGAGATGGCTGGGGTGGGTGCAGCTGGGTGGGAGGAACCATTTCTAAGGTTCCAGAGCACAGCAGGAGAACTCAGTGAACTCATTATATATCTAAAAGCAGCTGGTCAGGGGGACTGTGACTGTCCCCAACACAAAGAAATGACGGAGGCTCCAGGGGACAATGGGCCGATTTTGCCCTGACCTGATCACGGCAGGCTGGGACACAGACGGAAAGGTCACGGCGTACCCACAGGCACGTGCCATATTGTCAGTTAAAATAAAAAACATGTTTAAAAGCCGACGTTCTCAGGCTGGAGACGCAGCCCAGGGTACAGCATGTGTCCCGCAGGTGTGAGGCCCTGGGTTCTGTCCCCAGAAGCACAAAAAATAAAATAAGATGATCTCAACAGTATTGAATGATGCAGAAAATAAGCGTGTTTCTGTTCCTGAATAAGCCAGTGACTTCCACGAAGCTGATTTGCCTAGGAACAGTGACAGACCAGGAGCCGGGCACAGAGAGAAGTCACGGACACCACAGAATGCGGACTGCATGTAAGTGTAGAGCAGGCGGCCAGCAGAGCCTCGGGAGGGGGTGACACTGGGCAGAGCTGGAAACAGGTGGGTGGTGTCATGTGGGACCTTGTCACTCTGAAGGCTTTGTCATGAAAACAGCATGACCTGGCGATTTGCAGAAGCAGCTGTGGAAAGCTAGACCAGGGCCAGAGCTCGCTGTAGGGCCCACGGCACAGTTTGTTTTTCTCACGGCACTAAGACCTGAGCCCAGGGTGTCTCACCACTGAGCCGCATCCCAAACCCTTTTTTAATTTTTTATTTTGAGACAGGGTCTCACTAAATTGGTGAGGCTGACAACCCACAATAAAAAATTAAAAAAAAAAAAAAGAAATGTAACTGTCATCAAGTCAGGCATATTATTAATTTAAAAAAAAAAAAATTGGTGAGGCTGGCCTCAAACTTGCTATCCTCCTGCCTCAGCCTCCCAAGTAGCTGGGTTATCAGCCTGAGCCACCTTGCTCAGCGTTTCTAAAAAAGAAATCACAGTACAAATTGATTTTAATTATATCTTCCTATGTGAGTTAGGAGTATTCCGTTTTGTAGCTGATTCTGTTTAAATGACTCTGGACACTAAAATGTTCCCCATGATCACATCTCCGTCACACAGGAGGGCTCTTTAGAATAAATTTTTTTTTTTTTTTTTTTTTTAATATTTATTTATTTATTTTTTTGGCAGACACAACATCTTTGTTTGTATGTGGTGCTGAGGATCGAACCCGGGCCGCACACATGCCAGGCGAGCGCGCTACCGCTTGAGCCACATCCCCAGCCCCTAGAATAAATTTTTAATTGAGGTTTTCTTTAAGCACATTTTCCAGTGTCTCTTTAATTAAAAAAGGATTTTTTGTGTACAGCAATAATAACAGAAGCTTCAGAATGGAGGAGGCCTCCTGACCCAAACACCAACAGATCAGATCTGTTAATGCACAAAAGGGCAGCCCCAGCTCGGCGGAGTCTGTTCTAAGAGGGCAAAGTGGCCTCCCATCCAGAGGCTCATCTGTGTGATTTCTTCACATTAACAGGAGATGTAGGAAAAAAATTATAAAATTCATTAGCATTGATGATTATTTCCAGTAAACACCTCCTTGCAAAAATCATAAAGAAGGGCCGGGCGCGGGGTGCCTGCCTGTAATCGCAGCGGCTCAGGAGGCGGAGGCAGGAGTTCAAAGCCAGCCTCAGCAACTTAGCGAGACCCTGTCTCTAATAAAATACAAACGAGGGCTGAAGGAGACTTCCCACATGCATCTGCCACTAAAGTCTATCTAAAAAAGACCCAAAGCAGGGCTGGGGCTGGTGCTCAGTGGCAGAGCGCTTGCCTGGCCCGTGTGAGGCACTGGGTTGGATCCTCAGCACCACATAAAAATTAATTAATTAATTAATTAAAGGTGAACGCATCTGAGCCACTGGGCAGGACAGCCAGGAGCTGAGGCCTGCCCAGGAGCTGATCTGTCCCGCTCAGGGGGGGCGTGAGACCTCCTGGGCGGGCCTGGACTTCCAAGGTGTCTGCGAGCAGGAACACATATTTTCAGGCAAACCACTAAGTGTGGCAATATAAAAATGACTCGGGAGGCTGAGGCAGGAGGATCGCAAGTTCAAGGCCAGCCTGGGAAACTTGGGGAGACCCTTCTCAAAATAAAAAATAAAAAGGGCTGGGGCTCGGGGGTACAGCACCCCTCCGTTCAATCCAGGGTGCAAAAATAAACAAAATAAAACAAAAACAGAGGGGCCGGGGTTCTCGGGGCCCTGCCCTCCCAGCTCCCTCCGCCAGAACTTCCCACACTGCCCGACACCAAGCACCTGGGAGCCGGAACACTGAGCCCCGGCCACGCCAGGCGGGTTGTCCCCCTGCCCGCCCGACCCGAGGCCCCACTCACCCCAGCGCGGGCCCCGCAGCACTATACCAGCCCGTCGTAGAGGGACAGCGCCTGCACGATGGACGGGTCGGCCTTGGACCCTTCCTGGAACTCCTGCAGCGTCAGCTTCCCGTCCGCGTTCTGTGAGGGACACAGGTGGCCAGGGTGGGCACAGCCCGCCCAGCCCCGGACCTGCCCACCGGCCCCGGACCCGCCCACCGGCCCGGGGAACTAGCCAAGGAGACCCTCGGAAGTGGAGAGGGACACAGGTGGCCAGGGTGGGAGTCACCCTCCAACAGACCCCGACCCTCACTGGCTCGTGACCTGGGGCTGTGACCCACCCCCGGGGCCTGTTTCCTCCTCTGGGGAGGGGGCGGGAGACGTGGGGACAGCCCCTGTGCCTGGTGAACTGGAGGCCCCTTCCGGCCCTGTGCTTTGTGTCATTTATACACAAATGTGCCAGTCGCGAGGGCAGGGCCCACGTGTTGCTCTGGGGCTACTTTTGGAAATGCGCTTAATCACACATTGACACTGGCTCACAGGAGGCGAGAGGGCCCAGGAGCTCAGTGAGACACAAAGGAACCTGGATTCTCCTTGGGCTGGAGCCCCTTCCCCTGGAGCATGGCTCAAGGAGCCCAGGACACCGCTGCACACCTGCTCACGCTGTGTCTGGCCTACCTAAGGGGACGGTGCCATGCTAACCTTTGACCATGAGAACACTGACCCAGGGTCGCCTACCCAGGGTCCCACAGCTGGTGCTGGGGACGTCAGGTAGACACCCCAGCAGGCTGCCTCCAGGGGCTGCACAGTTTCCCCAAACAGGGGAGGTGAGACAGGGGAGGAGAGCCTTGGCAAGAGACATCAGGGAGCCCCGGGGTCCGGTGCCTGGGGTTCCTCTACTGGAGGCCCCGACTGGGCTTCCTCACGACCATGATTTCAAATTTCCATTTAAATCAAAGTTATTTTAGTTAATAAAAACCAGTGTGGAGGGCTGAGGAGCAGCTCGGAGGTAGAAAGCATGCATGGCACACACCAGCCTGCTCGGGTCCCCAGGCAGACAGAACGGACGGCGCCTCCCCTGGGCCGGGGGGACTGGGCAGGCCGTGGGCAGGTGGGAAGGTCAGTCCTCCTTCTCGGACCTCTGGAGGAAAGGCGGCTGCCCCTGAGTGACAAAGCTGGAGCACCCCCACCAGAACCAGCAGGGCCTGGGACTCTGCCTGCAGCCTGCCCCCCCACACGTCATGGCTGCCACTGTCACAGCTCGGAGACCACGGGGGTCGTCAGATGCCACATTTCTTCCTTTGAGGGGCTGAGGATGGACCCCTGGGCCCTGCACGGCTAGGCAGGCACCCCAGCCCGAGCTGCACCCAGCCCCGAGCTGCACCCCAGCCCAGGGCTGCCGCCACCCTTTACCATTTGATGTGTTGATAGCGAGCTCCCTCAACACAGTCACAGGCCCTCCTGGGACACTGTGTTCCCACACTACCAGCTCCCTCCCTTTCTGTCCTGTGGACTTTATGCACTTGAAGCTGTTGTTCTGAGGGGTCCATGGATTTCTCCAGAATGCCAGGGGCCCCGGGGCAAAAAATAAGTAGCGGTCAAGGACCTGGCTATGAAGCAGACTCGTTGAGCTCACTTGCCTGAAAGTCAGGACATAGTGGCTGCTCACAGAGGGCAGGGCGCCAGGCCGACCACCTGTCTGACCAGCCCCCAGGGGCTCAGTGTCCCCACTGCCGCCCACAGGCCCGCCCCGCTCTCCCTGCGGAGGACCAGCCTCACCTTGTCCATCATGGCAAAGATGCGGTCCACCCTCTTCTCAGGGGTGTTCTCCTCCTCGGGCAGCTCCACCGTGTTCCCCTGCCACAGGACACGGCGGGGTGGGCCTGGGCTCTGGGCTGCGTCCAGCTGAGGTCTGCCCCTGTCTCGGCCTCCCATCCTCATCCCGCCTTCTGCCATCTGGCCGCCTCCCCCACCCCCGCAAAGATGGCCCCAGCAGCCCAGCCAGCGGGCTGCCCCGGGGCCAGGCCCAGCCTCAGTGCCCTCCGGCCGCCCTCCCCAGCGGCCCCTCACCACCATCTGGTAGATGGCGTCCACGATGTCCAGCATCTCGTTCCTGGTGATGTAGCCATCGTTGTCCAGGTCGTAGAGCTTGAAGGCCCCTGCAACCAACCGCCCACTGTGACCCCGGCCAGGCCGCTGCTCCACGCCCCTCCTCGACACGGAGCCCGGGGGGACGGCCGGCACTCATGGGCCCACTGCCGACACCAGGACGCACCCCTGCAGCTCGGGGTGAAATGAGTTAAAACAGGTGGACGGCCAGCGCGGGCTGCGGCTGGGGCTGGAGCGGTGTGTGAGGAGCGCAGTCCTGTACCTGGCCCGGGGTGTCTCATGGTGCCCCCCGTCCCATCCCCCCCTCCTCTGGGTGTCTGCCCCCCCAGTGGTCAGCGTTAGCAAATAGGCAGGCAGGGAAGGGGGCTTTTGCGTGAATGAAATTCTTTTCTATGTCTAAAAAGGGGTGCTCCCGGCGCTGATGGGGACCGCGGGACCCAGTGCGCGAGTCCTGAGTCCCTTTGCTGCACTGCACGGTGGCCCATCTAAGGGCGTGCGGCCTGTCCCCCTCTCCGGGCCTCAGTAGGAGGGGTTCCTGGACTCTAGACTGACGGCCCTGAGAGCAGGGACCTGTCTGTCCGGCCTGGTGGATTCTGACGTGTGGCCTTGGGTCTGCACTCGTTGAGTGATGGATGAATAAGTGAATGAGTGAAATCCGCAGGCAGAACCACGGCCAAGGGAGTCCCTGGACCCCGCCCCACACTGCCGGCTGTCCCAGGCCCATGCTTTCCTGGATGTCACCTGTGCTCTTGCCAGCCCCGTCCCACGGGCCCTCGTCCATTCCTCCTGCCTGGTCACCTCCAGGAACCCTCCTCTGGCCCAGAAGGGCAGGTGTCAGTGCCGCTCCCTCAGCCCAGCGCAGACGGCCTGGCCCAGCTCAGTGGCCATATGAGGCCCACCTGCCCAGGGCCCGCTGCCCTGGCAGCTCCGGCCCGGCCACCATCTGGGTCACTACCGTGGTGTCTGGCGCCCCCATGTGGCGAGGGCCAGGGGCTGCCTCCCTCTATCCTGGGGGCAGGACGCATGGGACTTACACCGTAGCTTCTCGTCCAGTGTCCCCCTGGAGGTCACCGACAGCGCCTGGATAAACTCGGAGAACTCAATCCGCCCATCCTGAGGGGAGAAGGGGTGGCCTCAGTCAGCACCCGGACCTTGGAGGGTGGTGCCGTGGCAGCAGCATCACCAGGGAGCATCCGGGGGACCAGATGCCCCAGACACCCTGCTGTGAGCACAGACCCTGCATTCATGTGCATCTACGTGTGTACACACGTGTGCATACACATCCGTGCATGCGTGTGGGCATGAGGGTGTGCACATGCGTGTGCACATATTCATATTCGCCTATGTTTGCAAGTCCATGCATGAGTGAGCGTGTGTCCCTTCTTGGAAAGGGACCCTTTGCAGGGACAGTGGGGGGGGTCTGGTGTGGGAGGAGCAGAGCCGGCTGCCCAGGGAGGGGGCACCTGGCCGCCAGCGATACCCAGCTCACCTTGTTCTCATCAAAGACGTTGAACACAAACGTGGCGAACTTGGTGGGGTCTCCGAACGGGAAGAACTGCTTGTAGATCTTCTGGAAGCCTGCCGCGTCCAGCTGCCCGCTGGGGCAGTCCTTGATGAAGCCCTTATACCTGGACAGCAGCGCGGCGGGAGAGGGCAAAAGGGACACCAGCTTCACCCACCCACACCAGCTCCTGCCCAGGACACAGGAAGGCCGGTGCCTGAGACGGTGCCCCAGGGTCAGAGGAGCACAGACCTGACTCCTCAGCTCACTCCCACCTCTGCCTCCCACAAGCTGTGTAGCCTTGGACAGGCGACCTCACCTCTCTGAGCCTTATCCACACAAGGCAGAAAAGAGTCAGCACAAGAACAACAGAGAACTGCACGCAGAGCCCTGGCCACGGCCCCCCACACAGGGCTATGAGGAGAGTCGCCCATAAGCCCCCAGGAATGGCACTTCTGCATAAAGGGCCTCCTGCCATCCCCTCGTCCCCCTTCCCCTCCTATACCACAGGGCCACCATATGGGGTGGGCAGCCAGCTCCCCATGCACAGCCCTCCCCAGCCTCTTCTCCCAGGAAGTTGAGTGAGTAGGCCCTGGGGCAGCCCCAGGGGACCCTGGCTTGTCCCAGTGCCCAGCATGGGACCCCCCCCTCAGACAACCAGGCCACTAGGATGTGGTGTGGCAGTCCAAGCCCCAGTGTAGGTCTCTGCTGTGCAACCAGGGACAGATGTCTGACCTCTCTGAGGCTCACGCCCATCTTGTTGGAATCAGGTGAAGAGGTACTTGGACCCCCAGGGCCCACCTTTAAAAACATCCCTGCTTGGGGCTGGGGTTGTGGCTTAGTGGTAGAGTGCTTGTCTCACATGTGTGAAGCACTGGGTTCAATTCTCAGCACCGCATATAAATAAATGAATAAAATAAAGGTCTGCCAACACTAAAAACTATTTAAAAAAATAAAATAAAAAATAAAAACATCCCTGCCTGATCCCCAGCACCGCAGGGAGAAAAGCCACCAGTGTGACCTGCAGTCTAAGAACTTAAATGTGTCTTGTGTTAAACTGATTTATGAATTGGCTCCCGGGTCGTTCAGCACCCCCAGGTGGGACACGTGCCGTCTGAGGACAAGTCCTCCCACCGCAGGAAGTCAGAGGGACGCGGTCGGCACCAGCTCTGACCTCCACCCGGTCTGCCATCTGTGAGTCCCCACGGCCTAGACTGGAGCTGAGGGGGATGGACGGTGACTTCTGACAAGGGCCAGTGCTCAGAGGAACCAGATGGCTGACCCGCGGTCCCACCGAGACCTGTGTGAGGCTCCACTTGCCCGCCACCCGCGAAGCAGAGGATCCTGGGAGCAGTGTGAGCCTCCTGTGACGCTGTGTGGGGCGCCCGGGATGGAGGAGGCCTAAGGAAAAGCCAGGGTCCCCTCCCTGCTGACCAGCCTCTAAGGGGCCAGGATCGACGCTGGACACCCAGGGCCTGGGAGGACAGCCGGGCACCTGGCGGTGGGAGCCTGGGGTTCTGAGGCCTGAGAATGGCGGTCAGGTGTCCAGGGGGGCGGGACCCTTGTTCCAGGCATGCCTGCTGGGGCCAGGGCAGGTGGAGGGCGTGGGGCACCTCCTTCTGGGAGCTGGACTGGAGCAGGCACGGGGCTGTCCCAGCAGTGGCCGCACACCATGAGGCTCCCCGTGGGCTGAGCCTCTGGGCCTCTCCCTGCCCTCCCCCTCAGGCCCTCAGGATGGCAAGTCTAGGCACGGTCACCATGGGCCTCTGTCACCGCCCATGACAGCAGCCCAGTGCGAGGCTCCGTGCTGAGCCCTGAAGACTGTTCCTCATGCAAACCCCGCGGCTCACGGCTGTAGGTCCAGTGATCCCACTGGACAGATGAAGGCACTGAGCTCAGATAAGTCAGCCCCGGCCTCACAGCCCAAGTCCAGCTGTCAGCCTGGCGCTGCTTCTCCTGTCCCCCGCTGCCCGTCAGCCTCTGACGCAGCCTCAATTCAATGTGATGTCCAGGCCCACCTGGAAGCCCCGCGTCTCGTCCCTGCCAGCCCCGGGGCTGCTCTGAGCCTGGTGCTCACAGCCAACCCCCCAGGAAGCACAGCAGGGCAGAGTCCGTGACACTGATACCAAAGCGTGGCTTTGAGCCCTTCCGGTCACAGGAGGGACAGACTGGCCCCCAGCTCCCTCCCTTGGTGCTCTCTCCCAGCTTCCTTCCGGGGATAGGAGGCAGACAGTTTACAAGCAAGAGGCCACCACCCCAGGTCCCCAAGCCAGGAGGGGTCCCTGGGCAGGGGAGGGACGTGCTTGGTGCAGGACCTAATGACCCATCAGAGACGGCCTCTCCGTCTGGCATCCCTCTGTTCTTCCTGCCCTTCTAACTCGATCCCCAAAGGTCATTCAAAACAGCAAGATGCAATGGAAGGAGCCCAGAGGCGGCCCCCTGCCACGGCTCAGCGGGCTGGGCAGGGCCGGGGGCAGCTGCAGGGGCCAGTTGTGGGCACGATCCCGGTGGGAGCCTCCAAAGCCTGTCTGTCACACCTACAGAGGCTCCACAGGGCCCACCCCATGAGCAGGGGTCCCCAAAGCCCATCCCCAAGAGGCAGTGCCCACAGAGGGTGGCCAGCCCACGGCTCCAGCTTGCCCTGGCCACCCTGACCGCCGGCCTCTCCGAGCCCCTCCCCCACGCAGCCTTGACCTGCGCCCTCTTCAGCAGGCCCTGCCCTGGGCGAGATTCCTGCCAGGCCAGCGGACGGCTGACCAAGCTCCTTGCTGTCCCCCTGCTTGGCGGGGGACGAGGCGGCCCCCCACCTCCTGGTCACCCCTCATCCGTGAACCTCTCGGGGGCTCTGATGCCCCGTCTCTCTCCTGCTGGGACAGGCTCCACACTGCCCAGGTCCTGCCAGGAGGTCCCTGGGCACAAAGCCTCATGATAACTCCCTGGACCCCCGCCACTCCCCAGGTGCCAGGAGATGCGTCCTGCAGGAAGTGGGCCCACTGAGGCCGCAGGGTCCCCTGCTCCCCTGGTCCAGCACCAGCCCGCTGGACCACACTCCATCACATCTGCCTCCAGGCGATGGCCTCCAGTTCAATGCCCCGTCCCTGACACGGGGGCACCCCAATGCTCCACTCATAGCCTGGTGCGTGACACGGGCCCAGCAAGTGTCTGCCTGGTAAGCTGAACAGATGAATACAGGGGAAGAGAGGGCCAGAGTTAGGTGTCCTGCTGCTCTGTCCTGAGCCCAGTGGAACGGATCCTCAAGAAACCCTAGCCAGAATCTAAGAGCCCTGTGAGGATGGTTAGAAGACTACTTCTGGGTGTTGATGCGGCTCTGGGGGCCCAGAGAGGGGGAGAGACTGGCCCAAGGTCACACAGCAAGTTAGCAGCAGAACCAGGGCTCAGACTCAGGGCTCCTGCCTCCCAGCCTCCCCACCTCATGGCACCCCCCCCCACTTGCAAGCCAGGCTGTACGGCCCCCGGGGAAATGCAAGGGGAAAGCAGCTGCTACCCAAATATTATGTAACCCATTGTTCGTCCTCCGAAGGTGGAGGAGGTATCTGCCTCGGCTGCAGCAGAGCCGGGGAGACTGAGCTTCCCGGCCACCCTGGTTGCCCCAGGGCCTGGGATTCGCCTCAGATGGCCAGGCTCTGAAGCCAGACTTCCTGCAGGTCTAACCTGGGGTACAGCCCCTCCCCACAGTGGGCACCCCGGGACTGGGGACCAAGCCCAGGAACCTGTCCCAGGATGGCTGGGACGTGACTGAACCAGCCCCACGCGCCCCAGGTCAGGTCCCGGCAGGTCCCAGCCTCCTCCCTCTCCGGTGGAGCCGCCAGCCGTCTGCCGGGTGCCCGGGCCCGGCCCTCACCTGCCGTGTTGTGGGAGGGACCCTGCACAAACCCCTTCCCCACAACCCGGCGGCCCTGTGGGGAAGTGACTGGTCAGCCCTGGGCAGGGTTCCCACCGTAGGCGCCTGACGCTGTCCTCCAGTGACTGCCACCCTGTCCCCAGACCTTGCCAAACACACCCTGGGGCAGCGTCACTGGGTTTACAGCCACTGGACTGGGGGACCCCCAGCTGGCAGGGATCTGCCGCAGAAGTGCCCGCGGGTCACACAGTCCGCACTAGGAGTCGCAGCTCCTGCCAGGCTCCGGTTCAGGCAGGATTTTGACACATGATCCCAACAAGCCCCAGGGGAAGGGGTCAGTGATGGCCGCCTTACAGACTGGGTGTCCTCCGGGCTCAGGGTCCCGGGACTTCTGCCCGGCCCACCCCTTCCTCCGCTCCGCCTGTGGTGTAACTGTGCCCTGAAGGCCGGAGCTCCGCCTGCACCCCGAGGCAGGCGCCATTTCGGTTCACCCCCGACCCTCTGGGGAGCTGGCCTGCGGCAGGTTCCGGGTTGGTGTGGAGTCCAGTCCCCGGCTGGCCAGTGGGGTGGCTGCAGGGGGCCAGCCTCCAGATGGAGCGGGGATGGGAGAGAGAGGCCAGGTCTGCCACGGCCTGTGGGCTCCTCTGCAGCCAGAGTCCCCCGTGGGGACAAGGCCCCAGGGGTCTGCCTTCCTCACACCTCGGGCTGGACTCTGGACCCCAGGGGGAGGGACGGGAGTCCTCACATCACTGGCGCAGGTCAGCCCAGCAGAGGGGCAGGGATGACGGACATGGCACGGGTCAGGATGTCAGCTGGGATCTCCAGGCTCAGCCCCCGAGTCTCGGGCACCCGAGGGTGGAAGACCCTGGGTTCCACCGCGCCAGGGCCGGGAGTGCCGAGGGGCCTCTTCCTCATCGTCACTGTCACTGTCACAGCAGCTCATTCCTGTGCTGCCCGTTTCACAGGCTGCATCAGCCTGAAGGACTCTGAGGCGTCAGAGAGGAGTTTCTTTATATTTTTTTAACTGAAGAACAGCTCTGACCTCTGAAGCAAACCGCTCCGTCCTGGCTCGCCCTTGACCTTGTGCGACCCTGGGCAGGCAACTTTCTCTCTGAGCCTCAGTGACCCGGTCTGTGAGGTGGGGACCAAGCCAGTACCTGCCTTGAGGGCCTGCGGGAGCCTGGACAGTGGGGAGCCCAACTGCCCCCACAAAGGGGGGCCCGACCTCTCCACAGCACCAGAGGGGCCAGGGCAGCAGGAGCCTGCACACCCCAGAGGCCCTTCCTAATACCCAACCTCCTGGTTCAGGTCAGTGCCCCGGATGCTGGGCACCGGCCCCTGGCCACCCCATGATCGCCTGCAGCAGGTGCCCAGAGGCCTCTTCTCACCCCACCTTGTGCAAGGACGGGGCTGGACTCTCTGGGGGCCAGAGAGATAAATAACCATCACAACCAGGGCTGTGGCCTCCCAGATCCTTCCCCGTCACCTTTTCAAAAGCCTCCCCTCGGACGGAGCTCCAGGAGGGGTCCCAAGCGCTCGGGTAAGGAGGACCCTCCTCCCGGCCCTCCCTCCAGGACTTCAGGTCTGTGGGCTTCCTAGAGCCAAAGCCTGCAGCCCCGAGCCCTCAGCCCAGGCCATGAGGAGGAAGGACACACAGAGCTGTGACTGGGCCGGGTCTCTGCCCTCCGAGCCCCAGCCTCTGTAACACACCACTCCTGGGACTCGCCACGAGGCACTAAACCCAGCACAGTGCTGCCACGGGGGAGCGCGGGGACGTTGGGGGAGCTGCCCCCTCCCCCGGGGTGCGTGGGACGGTCCAGCTGGCTCTGCGGGCGGCTGCAGGATCCCTCCTGCTTCACCCTCTGTTTTTGTTACAACATGATGGGATATTTGTTTTTTGTAAAAATAATAAAACAAGATAACTTGGAAAACAGAAGAAGGAAAAAAGCATCCGTGATCCAGCCACCAACGCGGCCACCAACGCCGGCCCAGCCCCCGCCTTCCTCGCTCCCGGCTCCCTTTGCCTCCTGCAGTTGTCCTCCATGGAACTGGGTGTGCCCTGCTGTCATGAGGGCATTCTTGTGGCTTCCCAGGTGACAATGATGTCCATGTCACCTTCCGGGGCCTGGGGCCTGCTGCTGCCTCTTACTCCACAGCCCACTGTGGCTCCTGATCTCTCAGGGTGCAGAGCAGGGCTCTCGGGAGTGGGGACCAGAGGGCGGGAAGCCAGGGGTCCGGGCACCCAGGGGCCATGTCCCCATGCTGGTGCCCAGGGCCGGCAGGGCCGAGGCCACGGGGGTCCCCAGGGGCTGGAGCCAGGGGAGGATGCCCACCTGGCCTGGCCTGGCATCGCTCTTCTGGGACCTGGGGCCTGACTAGCCCCAGGGCCTGAGTTCAAATCTAGGCTGCGTCTGCACTGGCTGCACACAGGGTCAGGTGACGAGATCACACCACAGCCCTGAATAGCAGCCCTAAAGTCAGCAGGGAACAAGACAGGCCAACTCTGCAGAGGTGACGAATGAGCCATGCAGAGGAAAGGAACAGCGGCCGGAAGAGCAAGGAAGGAGGTCCTGAGGCTGGGGGACTTGACCAGGGTGAGGGACAGCAAGGGCGGCCATGCTGGTGAGCCGGGAGAGGGCGAGGCCAGAGAGCACGTGAGCCCTGAGGCCTGGCGGGAGCCCAGGCCGGTGCCAGGTGCAGTGGGAGGTCCCAAAGGGGCTTCGAGCAAGAGAGCCAGCCAGCCACCCACCCAAAGCTCTCCCTGTGTGCGTGGAGAAGGGGCCACAGGAGCCCATGAAGGGGCAACGGCAGCCCCACTGCAGACCAGTGGCCGGGACCAGGGCGGGACAGAAGGAGCGGGGCAGACCAGACCTGTTCTTGAGGAGGCAGACGGGTGGGGATTCAGTTCAGGAGGAGCCGCAGGTCACAGGGTCACGGGGTCGGAAGGGGCAGGAGGGGAGGCCAGCAAGGCAGGGGAGAGGGAAGCAGGCCACCACCTGCCTGCAGCTCTGCTCTCCCCCGGCGCGCTCCACCCGTGCCCTGGCCTACACTCCTGGTGGCCCGGCCAGCTGGGCTCAGGAACACCAGTTTCTCCTACGGGAGGATTCCCCGGCTGTGAAAGGGTCCTCTGACACGCCTGGGCGCTGGGGATGCAGGGACATTTCCATGTGCCTTCTGTGCAAAGAACAGGGCGTGTGGGCCCAGGAGCCAGCCTTTACCCAGCAGGCCTGGTTACAAGTCAGGTGAACAAGCAGGCCTTAGGCCAGTCCAGGGAGATGAACCGGTCCCTTCTGTGTAGCAACGACAATTCCATCAGCTGCACAGAGCACCGAGGAGACTGATCCAGAACACTGGGATCTGGGATCCATTATCAATGCCAGCCACGGGCACAGGAGGGGAGGGTGAGGCCTGAGTGCCCCTGTTTAACCATCCTGGTCTCCCCTTTTTCTATTTCTAGAGGTGGCCTTTCTAGAAACAGGAGGGGGAGGGCTGGCCTAGGAGGGCAGGAAAGGGCTGGTTCAGCTATCTCTACCCTGGAGGCTCCACCAAAGTGAAGCGAAGCCTACTTATTTGACGTCCACGGAACTTTCTGGAACTTTCTTTCTTTAGAGCTTGCTAGGGAAGGTGTCACACAGTGAGGAGCAGGTGTGCAGGCACAAGCCAGCCTCCTTGGCCTCCCTGCTGGTCCCCTGACCCTGCCTCACGGCCATGTGCTCCCCCAGGTAGTGGCCCGAATGCTGGCAGCCGGCAGCCGGCAGCGCCTGCCTGGACCCTGCCCTCAGGCCCCGACCCCGGCCTGTCACCCTGCTCAGGCTGAGATGCTGCTGCTTTGTGCTGATGTGTCTGCCCAGGGTTGGGGCTTGGTCTGTGTCACCCTGCGTCTGGGACAGGCCCTGGGCAGCTCTGCTCCACCAACGCTTGGCGAGTGAATGGGAGCGACCTCCCCTGGCCCACCTGGGCCTCGGCTCCCCATCAACACGGTGAGGAGGGGTCCCCCCAGCGCTGCTAAGATGGGGGCAGCAGTGGAGGCGCTGCTCAGCACACCACGGGGACGCGCTCGCCAGGCGCCCTCCCAACGTCCCCCACGAAGTAGAGCATCTGCTCTTGACGCCGTCCGCCAAGCCCGACTCCCACTCCCGCCTTCCGACGGGGACACTGAGGCCCCAGGAAGCTTAGCCCAGGTGTGGGCAAGTCAGAGTGCGGCCAGCTGCCCGGCTCCGAGCCCCCACCCTGGCCACGTGCCTCTCCTGGGCGGCCAGGGGAGCACCTGGGAGCTCAGGGGGCCCTCAGTGTCCTCATCCCCAAGATGCAGATGGGACCTTCTCCTCCAGGGGACTTCGAGGGGAAACAAGTGGGGCTGCCTTGAGTGCCCCCTGTCACCCACGGGTGCTGAGGAAGTGCCCGTCTCTCAAGGACAGGCCTTGCCCTCTTCTTGCCCTGGAAGGAAGGTCTAGGAACCCTTCTCCCACCGGAGGGCCACATCACGGCTGTCTCCTAATGGCCACCCAGGACCCTAACCCGGCCCCCCGCCCGGCCCCCAGAGGATGGGGGCCGCCCGTGGTTCAGGAGACCTGTGCAGCCTCCCTCCCTCAGCGGGGCCAGAGCCAGGTCCTGGGGTCCTGCTGCCTACTGTCATGGCAGCCCTGCCACCCCCCAGGCGCGGGCGAGGGACTCCCTGTGAGCCTCCCTTTCCTTGTCTGCCACGTGGAGGTGACAGGCCACGTCACACTCGGGAATGTGCTCCCAAAGCATCGAGGGGGGTGCCTTCGGAGGCTGAGCATCCACTGTGGCCAGGCCCTGGGGACACAGTGAAGGACAGGCGAAGGTGACCAGCCTTGAGCTGGGGGACGCAGACAGGGGCAGAAACATTTAACCACTGTCACAGGCCATCACAGAGAAGCATGGGTCAGTGGGGGTCAGAGAGACCCCAACCCAGCTAGAGGCCAGGGAGGGTGCGGGAAGGAGGCTAAGGGGGAGCTGGAGCCAGGAGGGGGCCCACGCGGGGGAGCGGCAGGGACAGAGCGAGGGGACGCAAGGAACGTCACCAGGTCAGGCTGGCAGAGGGCAGGGTGGCACGCGCCTGGGCAGCCAGCAGGCTGGACCCCACGGGGCCACTCGGCACATAACCACACTCAGTGTCTGGCCTCCTAGGGTCTGGCTGCCCCGGCCCCTCTGACCGCCGGCGGGAAGGCAAGAGCGTGTCCAGAGGGGAGTCCAGGGGGGCTTCCTGGAGGAGGGTCCTAGGCTGCACCTTGGAGGAGGAGCCCAGGAAGGGAGCACCCAGGGATAGAGACCTAGAAGCAGGAATGTTCTGGAACGCCCACCTGGGGAAGTCGGGAAGTGGGAAACGAGGTCAGTCCTGGGATAGAGCTGGGTGGCTGCTCACTCTCCTCCCGCTGCTGGCTCGGCCAGCTCAGCCTCCCATCACTGCCCACCTGGCCAGGGTCCCCTGCGGAGGTCAGCAGAGCCCGCAGGACATGGCTCTGCACCTTCTACAGTGTGAACTTGGGCATGGGGGTGTCAGAGGTGGCCCGGGAGGAGCCCGGGAGGCCTCCCTCCAAGCTGTTCCCCCATCAGGGCTCATCTTATAGTGGGAGCCCCGTCCTCCCCCTATCGCACAGTGACCGACAGCATCACCCAGGCCAGGCACCCTACACCATTACAGACCTCACTGACCCCTCCCTGCAAAACCTTCCATTTGCTCCAGGACAAGCGACCTCAGAATCCGACCTCAGAATCCGTCTTAACACACACTCTAGGCAAGCCACCGCGGGCTGACCAGAGCTGGCGCCCAAAGGAAATCTACCCGCCATGCCCGACCGACACCCAGCCATTGTGAGCAGACTCACCTGAGCCCCTAGGAGGGAAGAGACCTGTCAAGGCCACACAGCATTTAATGACAAAGCTGGGCCCGGCCTTGTCATCCTAACCCCTCCCTAGGGTCTAGTGGGCCTGGGGGTGCCCCAGGCCCTAACTGCCAGCACCCCACCCAAACCAGTTAGCTGAGACCGCACAGAGCCAGGGACAGGGCTGGTGTGTGGATGGGCATGCTCCGAGGCCCCTGCATGCTGTCCTGGGCACCGGGACTCTGTCCCCATCAGCACAAAGCCCCCGTCCCCACCCCTGAGTTTGGGTAAACGGCTACTCACCACTGCTGCACTTCCTTCTCGGTGACTGCAAGAGAAAACAGAAAAGTGGCCGTTAGCTCAGGTGACCCCGCACACGCAGGTGCTCACTGGGGCCACCCTTCTGTCCACCCCACCCGCAGCCTCCCTGTCCGCTCAGGGCATCGACCTGCTCTGAACAAGAAGAGGTGACGAGTACTGGGCAGGGGACAGCGCTGGCCCCTCCTCCCAATGCTCACTGTGCTGCTGCTGTGAGCCCCAGAAATACCCGGGGACGCCGCGGTCACTTCTCCAGGAAGCCAATGTTCAAGCACATTCTTTCCCATCTCTCCGTCCCCAGGGACAATCAGGGAGGGTGGCTGTCCAACCTGGCTGCCCTGCCTGCCTGTGGGGACCTGGCCAGGTGGGGGGCCACTCTCAGCAGGAGGGCCAGCTCCCTCCCTGCCACCCCCCAGGCCCTTGGTGGACAGTCCGGGTTCTTCCACTGGCAAGATGTGGTCACTGCATGAATCCAAAGCTGGAAGGAGCCACAGAAACCGCTGACCCTGGAGCCAGCCCGAATGGTCACTGTACTGACCATGAAACAGCCAAACAAGGGGTTTTCTGAAAAGTACTGAACCTGTCAAGCTGGAACCAAACCCAGGTTCTCTCTCAAGTCACTGAACAAGCACCTCAAGCCCCTCTCCTTGCCCATGTGACATGGGAGAGCTCCCGAGCACCCTGTGCCTCGGTTTCCTCATTTGCAGGCACGATGGCAGCGGTACCTGCCACACGGCGCTGGCCCAGGACCCCATCCTATCAGGTGCAGAAGTGCCTGGGTCCCCAGGTGTGGGGCGGAGAGCTCCAATGAGCTCACGGGCGGCAGGCAGAGAAGGAGTGAGCAGGTGCACAGAAGGCGCACAGGTGGAGCCAGGCGGGCCCGGAGCTGTCCCTGCCCACACAGGCCGGGGGAGGTCACTTCACGAAAACTGCTCAGACAGCCACCAAACACCAAGCGCCTACTGTGACCAGGCCTGCGCCCAGGGCGGCCCTGCCCCAGCCTAAGGGAAGATAGCACTGGCCTTCCCCAGCTCCAAGTGGGGACACGGAGGCCCACAAGGCCAGGAAGAGGGTCCAAACTCAGGTGTGGGACTCAGAACCCGCATCAGACCCCAGTGTGCACTGAGAGCCTCCCATCCGCTCCTGAGCCCAGATCAGACCCTGGGATGAGAACCGCCCCGGGGCCACCGCGGTGGCGCAGGCCTGTAATCTCAGTGGCTCGGGAGGCTGAGGCAGGAAGATCACAAGTTCAAAGCCAGCCTCAGCAATGGCGAGACACTAAGCACCTCAGTGAGACCCTGTCTCCAAATAAAATGCAAAATAGGGCTGGGGATGTGGCTCAGCGGCGGAGTGCCCCTGTGTTCAATCCCTGGTACCAAAGAGAGAGAGCGCGAGAGAGCGAGTGCGCGCCAGGCCATGATGGAGATGCCGCTCTCCTGGAAGCCCAGACCTGGCATGAAGAATGCAACTTCCCTGAGAAAATTCTGGCAGAGGTACAGGGTGAGGGGTTAGGCCTGGGGGTAGAGAGGGAAGGTGTCCCTGGTCTTACCCAGGACAGGCTGCCCTAGACCTACCCCCTGCAGGAATCTGGGGACACAGGTGGCCCACTACTACACAGCCAAGAGCTCAGGGCCACCAGCTCTGGAGCCCGGCCAGTGAACCCACGTCCAAACCAAGCCCAGAACTCACCAGCTGTGCGACCCTGGGGAAACTGCCTCCCGTCTGAAGCTCGGTTTTCTCATCTGCACGTGGGCACGTTGGGAAGGTTGGATTAGAAAGCACCAGAATCCCACAGCGAGGTGGGACCCATCTCCCCCGGGAGGAGACAGAGTTCTGGGGGTCAGCCTGCCTGTCAGAGGGCACCTGAGTCACCTGCCAGGACAGGCAGGCCAGGATGATGCTTCCAGGCCCAGAATGAATGGCCAGTATGGTCCCCAACCCCACCCCGAGTCAGCCAAGGAGCTGCCGGACCCCGTGTGACCTAAGCAAGGGCCTGAATGGCAGGTCCACTGCGGACCCCAGGTGGGCCTCATAGGGCCAGAGAGCTACTCCCCGGGATCCCCCAGCTCAGAAGTCCCACCAACCTCAGAAGTCTCTGGCAGCCTTTCCCCCAGGGCCACTGTCCCTCCAGCCTCCCCTGCTCTTCCTCACCCATCAAGCCACCCAGCGGCTGGCTGCACCCCCTTGGACTGTCCCCCACACAGAACACTGGGTGATCAGCAGGTGGCCAAGCCCCGGGGACATGAGCTGGCCGGGGAGATGCGCCCTATGCACACTTTGAGCAACTAATTAGCCTTCAGGAGACAGTTGAGGCTTCCAGTGTCCCCTGGCCCCATGCCACGGCCAGCAATCCCAGCAGCTTCACGTCTGGGGCCTTGGAGGACCTTGGAGGGCAACAGATAGGGACCTCTCTGGGGCGTAGCCACCCACCCCAGCCCTGCAGAGGCCAAGCAGGCCTGCATCCAACCCAGGCCTCTGCCCACCAGCCACCACCCCACCCCAAGGGGACGTAAGAAACATGGCCAAGGCCCTGCCACAAGGTGGTCCGCAGTCCCCGCCATTCCGACACCCCCTTTGAGATTCCTCTTAAATGGCTGGGTGCTCACATGTAATCCCACGGAGGCTGAGGCAGGAGGATTGAGGGTTCAAAGCCAGCCTCAGCAACTTAGCAAGGCCCTAAGCAACTCGTGAGACCCTTTCTCTAAACAAAGGGGGCTGGGGATGTGGTTGAGTACCCCTGAGTTCAATCCCTGGCACCAAAAACAAAAGATCCCTCCCTGTCCCCCAGTGTGGATCCTCTCCAGATTTTTCTGGAAATCATCCCTCTTAGTTTTTACTCAATTGCTTGATCTCGCTTCTGCCTAAGCAATCATATCTCTAAAATCACCAGCGACTTGGGCCATTTATTCTCTAATACACAGTGAAGATGTCACTGCTGAAAAGAGCAGAGTGGCCGGCCACCCTGGGCCGTCCGTCCTCCGTGTGCTGGAAGGACGTGTCCTCCACTGAGTTCTTCTGCCAAAACGGTTTACCTGAGTCTAATCCTGAGGACAGATGACAAAGCCAGAATGTGGGACATTCAACAGGGCAACTGGCCAGGACCCTTCAATCAGCCACTGCCATGAAAGGCCACGTGGGCCAGAGGAATGTTCCAGAAAAGACCAAGCCAAGGAGGCAACCAGGGGGCCCTGCCGATGCCCGGTGGGGCCTGGGACCCGGAAGGAATGGAGGCTGGTGGAGGTGGGGAGGCCGGGCGGGCTGCAGGAGGCTCAGCCGGGGCCCTGTTGACCATTTTGGGGGGGACAGGGCAGGGAGGCTACGTGGGAGAGTGTCCTTTCTCTTGCTGGGCCCCTCGGTGTTTAGGACGGGGTGTCCGCAGCTTCTGCTAATTTACCAAGGAGGTGAAAGCCACGAAGCCTGGGATCCGGCGCACAGGGATTTGCTGCATAATATTTCAAAAGAAAAAGTTGGGGGAAAATGTTTGTCAACCCATGCACCCCCACACAACCCACAAGGGCTGGTCCTGCCCTCGCAGCTATGACCCCACGGGCACAGGGGGAGGGAAGCCTCATGGGGTCCAGCTTCCCTGGGCCTTGGCCTCTGCCCAGGCACCACAGTAACCTCCCCCCTCTGCCCAGGCACCACAGTGACCTCCCCCCTCTGCCCAGGCACCACAGTGACCTCCCCCCTCTGTCCAGGCACCACAGTGACCTTCCGGGCAGCAGCCCCAAGCCTGGGCCCCTCCCCTCTCCCCAGAGCCTCGACCTCACACCCCCTTCCCTCCTTGGGTCCAAGCCCAAGGCTCAGGGCTCAGGGTTGGTTGGACAGGAATGCCAGCCCCCTGGGTCCCCTGCCCACACCCAACCCAGTGGCCCCTGCCCCAGCTCCTGTTCCCTCCTCCCCTCTGATGCCAGGGAACCCCTCTCCATCGTCCCCAGCCCAGCAGAGACATCCTTTCCTAGCAAGCCTCTTGACTGGCCAGGCCCCGGGGGCCCCCTCCACAGGGGATCTTATGTGCCACATAAGTGTCACAACAGGGGGCAGAGGTCTGACCAAGGCAGGACCAGGCCAAGAGGATAAAGGGCCACAGTGAATGGAATGGCCCTGGCCAGGGATCCTGCCCTCCTGGTCCTTGTGGCCTTGGCCTCTGAGCCTGGTCTGCTCACTGCAAAAGGGGACACGCAGCCTCGACCTGCTGTCTCTGACAGGAGGAGCGTGTACTTGGGGTACAGCCCTGGCGGGGACCCTGTAGAAGCACCTTGTCTCTCCCCAGCTGGACGCTCAGCCCCAGAGGTCCAGGTGCTTCTCCTGGCTCTGCCCAGCCCGGCCCAGCACGCTGCACAGGGACACACGTGAGCCCTGCTGACGCCTGCTGCCCTCAGCCCTGCGCCGGGCCAGAGCTGGCCTCTCACCCCCTGTGGACCTGCACCAGCATCTGGCTTTGGCCTCAGGGGCTGTGTTTCTCAGCACGCTCCTGCCCCCAGGCCTGCCTGCAGCCCGGGCTCCTGCAAAGCCAGGACGGAGGCTGGGTGCAGGCAGTCCTCGGGAGCCGGAGTCCTCCCCTCGAGGACGGGGCATGAACTCCCAAGGCACAGCCACGGGGAGGGGCTCTCGAGAGGTGGGAGGGTGCTGCAGCCCCAGCCGGGAGGGGGGCGAGGTGTCCACTCCACCCGCTTCCACTGGCCCCGCTGAGAACAGGGCTGCGGAGGGGAAGGGGAGGCCCAGCCTCTGCTGTCCACCAGCCTGGCCGGCAGGCTATCTGATGCCAGGCTGCGGCGAGGCTGCAGTGCCCAGGGCCTCCTCCCCCGGGCAGCTCCCGAAGCTCCTGGGCTCCTGCTCCCTTCCACGCAGCTCCTGTCTGCCCGTCCCAGGAGCCAGGACAGACATCGAGTCTGAGTCTCATTTCCCTGAAGCAAAATCCCCCGATCCCGGATGAAGCTCAGCTCCCACAGACAGCCGGTGGGAACAGAGAGCAGGGGCTGGGGACCCCGCAGGGGCGCGGCTGCGGCA